ATACTTAACTTTATTTGTTGTTAAATCGACTAGTTTTTCTTTCATGATTTGTTGGTGAAAGCAGGTTCTTGTGTCAACTACATGATACGAAAATCAATGTTTCATTAAAAGAAATCTAATTACTTGTTTAAACGTGAAAGAAAATTGAAGGTGACAAGGTGTCATATAATAAAAAGGATACGCACGAGAGAGAACACAAGCATTTCAATATGAAATAATACCATCACGGTCTTTTCTATTTATTTGCAAGTTTTATATATGTTATCAAACTATGTTTAGAAGATTTTCTGCATCAATTCATTATACGTAAGCACTTTCTGACGTGTTCAACATAATCTAAAGATAACATTTTCATATTTTATTTGTCTGCATTTTCCTTATCTTATCGCTTGTTTTTCTCTTTGATGATCTATTAGTTTATTATTTATCTGCATTATTTTCTTTTGATATAAAATAAATATCGAATACATTTATTTAGTATGCCTAACAACGAAGAATTATCATCTAAAGATGAACGAACAAATTCTATTACGAATCGTCTATCAATGGGTCCAATAGCTGCTGCTAGTCGTTTTATGTCTTCTGTATCAAAAAAATCACGTAACAGTATTTCTAAAGAATCAAATGATACTAATGAACAAGCTTCATCATCTAAACCGCCCACCTCACACTCAAGTCCACTTTTGATAAATTTATCTTCAAAAATGCACAGTTCATCAACAATGCCCTTCAATTTAAATAATTTATCAAAATTATCAAGAACATCAACTAATTCAATAATACCAACACCAGAAACAATTGATGTTAATTTTAACTTCGATTTAACGTATACACAAATACGTGATTTAACTGAAACAAATTTAAATTATTTTTCTCTACAAAAAAATGATATTTGTCGACGATTTGAACATTTATTTATTCAACTTTCACATTCATTAGAATTATCTTTACCACTTATACGATATCTTATAGACAATTTTCATCAATTTGATTATAGTACTGAAGTAAGAAAAATAAAGAATTGTTTTTCATATTCATCATCATTAATTACTTGTTAAATAGATTCGTGCTAATGGATATCGAACATTAGTTGTATCACATGGTCAAGCATGTTTACGAACATTAGATATACTTCGACAAGTTGATACAAGACGTGCTGGTCTTTTATTTAATCTAATGTATGCATCTAGACTATTTCAAGATCTTGAATCTTGGATAAAAGCTCTTATAGGAATGCAACATATATTAGCATTTGCTGTCAAGATCATTGGTTATACTGAGAAAACAACATTATATGTAAATGAAAATGTTTGATTAGAGGAGAAACAATACTGTTCGTTTTTTTTCTCTTCATTTAGGTTGATGTTACTCAAGTACCAATGGATGTTGAATTAGATTATTTTAAAATGGTCGCTTTTAATACTGAATCTTTTTTTGGTAGAACATGTGGATTTCAAGTAAGATTAATGTGGGATACGATGGATAGCACATTATTACCTAGCTAAATCCTCTGAACAAGTGTATACATATTATTAAATGAAGAAATTCTCCTTGACTGTAAAAAGAACTTCGTTGTATTATTTTCAAAAGAGAAAAAAAATGGTCTTGCACATATCGAATCAAACCTAAGTGAATGCTTTGCGACGGATTTTAGCTCGCGCATGATCGAGTCTTGAAAGAAAGAATATGATATTCACGAATCCAGTGGCTGACTTTTCTCAATTAGTAGTCAGCTGAAAGAACAAACTTTTTCACCAATCAATACTAAAAAAGCCGATGCGACTTTTTTCATTTTGTTTCTTTAGGTATTGAAACTCTTCGATAATTTGTTTTTCTCTTATTTCAGTTTGCTGAATCTATGGAAAACATGCTTACTTTGATATTAGCTGGTCTAGCTGCTTATCATGAGACGTATAATCGATCAATACCATTTGCAGCAGCTAGTGTTGCAACTGCACCAAAATATATTCTATTTCCTGAACAACGAGCAGCAAAGGTTCAGTATTTATTTTACAAAAAACGCTAAATTTTTCTATTAAGTTTATTTTAATGAAACTTTTTCTTTTAGTGTGCGGCTGTATTTCGTGATTGTGATTATTTATTTTGTAAATCATTTTGGAATCTTGTTGATCATGATTTTATAAAAAAAGGTTCACGATATATTGTTCCAAATGTAACTGTATCAAAATATTTTCAAATTGGTCCTGAGCCTATTGAAATTGATTCAATCATTGTTCCACCACCAACAGCAGGTGCTGGTAGTGATGAACCAAATGAACGTATCGGAGGTAATATTGGAGCTGGATCAGATAACAAAACAGGCTCGGGTAGTATACAACCGAAACAACTTGTCAATATAAAACTCTTATCAAATGAAATACGAGAAGGTATGGATAAATTACCTTTGAAAAAAAGTGATTTAGAAATATCATCAAAAAAAATATTTCCAATGAGTGATCAACTTCTTATGCATGTTCATGGTGGAGGTTTTATAGCAACATCATCAACAACTCATGAAGTATAAGCATTTTTTATTTTTCTAAATTAAATTTATTATGGAGAGAAAATTATTTTCCTATAGATTTATTCAAAACCATGGGCATTAGGTCTTGGAATACCTATTATATCAGTTGATTATTCTCTTGCACCTGAATATCCATTTCCTCGTGCTGTTGAAGAATGTTTTTATGCATATGCATGGATTTTAAAAAATGCTAATAAACTTGGTTGGACAGGTAAAACAATTTTATTAGCTGGTGATAGTGCTGGTGGAAATTTAATAACAACTGTTACCATGAAAGCAATTGAAGCTGGTTTAAGAAAACCAGATGCTATTATTTGTTTTTATACACCATTTCTTCTTTGTTATAGGTAAATAATTAGAATTATTTTAACTATCAAACGAATGAAAAATGCAGAAAGATAAAAGGATTGGATTGAGGAATTAATTATTAAGAATCTTTAGTAGAGATACTCTTAGGTCAAACTGGTCTTAGTGAGAGTATCTGACGTAGTGACATTTTACAGAAAATTATGTCAACAAACAAAATAACATGTCATTATGTCATAAATCAAATGTTTCTCTAATTAAGAAAACAGAAACATGATAAACATTGAATGACGAAGCAAAGTCATAACAAAGTTGGTTTGCTTGTTTTTTGTGGAAGGCAATTTAAACGGGATGCTGACATATAGAGTAGAAATTTACACACTCCGACAGGCCGTAACAGATATTACTATTAAGAAGCTGCGAGTGCAAATTTTTGTGGACGCATATCAATAACGTTTTATTCTACTATATAAACCATTTAGTTGCGTATTACATATTTAGAGAAAGATGATGAAGAAATGTATTTCAAAATAGATAGAATAAAACCAACTCATTGTAATTAGGAAGACTAGCTACATCGTGTTTCACTATATTAATTCCATAGGAATTGTGCTAACAGTTTTTTTTTCTAATTACATAGTTTTCGTTTGAATAATATAATTGAAAAAGACGACGGAATTTTACTACTAATTTAGTATATCACCATCTCGATTATTGGCTATTATGGATCCATTATTAAACACGGGTTTTCTATGGCGTTGTCTTGCAGCATATGCTGGAATCAAATATAATAATAAGCCACCTAGTGATGATCTTTCTTTAGCAACACCTACTATTGATAAGATGCCTGAAAAACGACGTAAAATTAGTACTGACGGATCATCATCATCAAATCAAGTTGTACCTGAAGATGAAGACGCATCTGGAAATATAAAACCCGACGTTAAAGATATTTATCATGCTCGATTGAGTATATAATCTTTTTGTTTAAATGTTGAGAACTTATCATCATTTCATTTTTCGTACAGCTGATATAATGGGTTCACGTCAAGCATATTTTCTTCGAAACTTACGTGAATCATCATTACCAAATCATCCACATATGTCACCTTTGCTCGCTTCCGATGATATTTTACGACAATTTCCAACAACTTATCTTTTTGTAAGTAATTGATTTCTCTCGCTTAGGTAACTGTTCTTTCTTCTCATTTTAATCTATATAAACGAACTAAAAATTCTTATTACACCGAAATCTGTATTAGGGAACATCTTCCGACTCTGAACTTGAACATTGTTTTTCTCAATTCCGATTGTTATATTAACCTCTTTTGAACGAGCAAATGTGCACTTTTTTTTTCCTACTTCTCCTCTTCATCAGGGTGTGGGTGTGGAATTACTATTGGAATAAGAAATGAAGCATATATTTGTACTTCCCGCCCGGACGGAGTTAAAACAAGAATATTTAAGTCATTAAAAACTCGCTATTTTTGACGTAGCTAATTGCTCGATGAATAAAGAGGAAAAATCGCAACTTCTCTCCAGCAAACAAAAGTTTAACGAACGAACATGCCTGACTGTTGGTTGCTATTCGACTTCATATTATGGCTATGAGTAGGTGTCACTGAGATCAATGAAATTTTAAAAGAATCCGAGCCCATAACCTACTGTGTTTACAACAGAAAACTTCCAATTCTTTCTCTTTATTCATGTTGCAATCAACTAAATTAAGAATGACTTGTTTCTGTAGACCTTAGCTCTAGCTACATCTATCACACAAATGATATCGATTACTTCAAAACTAGTAGAGAAGCTTTTATATATGTAACCTTTTTTTATTTATTCCGTAATATAACATCTCCGTTAGATGTTGTACAGAATTTACCACATGATTGTTTAAATTTTAATAAAGCAATAAATGACTGTCAACGAGCAACTGATCACATAATGAAATCTTTTTCTTTCTCTACTCTTTTCTTTTGTGATTATTCGAAATTAAATTATTACTTTGTTTTTTGTTTTTCTTTTTATATTTCAGCCATGTGCACGCGGTAAGTTAATTAATTATTATAGAATTCATTTTTTTTTAAATAAAATTTTGTTGTTTTAAAGATCCATTTATTGATGATAATGTTGAATTTGCACGTCGATTACGTTCTCTTAACGTTCCTCATCATTTAAATGTAGTCGATAAATGGCCACATGGTTTTCTTGATTTTGGTTTTGCATCAGATGATGTTGCTCAATTTAATATTGAAATTATAAATATGCTTCAGAATATTGTTCAGCAATCATATTCCAATGATACCAGTGATATACCTTCCGTGCCAACTTTTATTGGCTAAATTTCGTTTTTTTTTTGTATACTGAATACCAATATGTGATTGTACGCAAGTGTGAAATTATTTTTTTTATTTGTTTTTTCTTTCTTTTTGTATCATGTGCATTTACAAAGAGAACAATACATTATATTACTCTTGACACTATGCTATTTTAACTGAAAAAATAAAGGTTGATTGATCAATGCGTAAGCAAGTAATTCGATCCTTTTCTTTCGACTATGAGATAAAATATAGGTGTATATCTATTCATAGACAACCTTTATTCGATTATCTACTCGATATAATCTATATCAGCTGTAAAGAATGTACTGAATTCAGGACGCCTGCTATCAGTGTATGTCACAGGAACTTTGGAGTACTTTATGAGTTTTTAGCGCTTAACTAAAACATGTGTCTAAATGTTCAGTCCACTAGTTTGATGAAAATTATTTTTATAGAATGCTGTAGAAATTGGATGGGTATCTGAAAAGTACCCACAGGCCACGCAGCGATACTACCTTGATGATTTTTTAGATACAATGTCCATCAAAATTATTCAACAAGGTTTATTTTTAATTTTTTTTCTGCTGTCGTAAGCGCTAGAAAGAATCTAAACACTGATTCGAATAGAGAAAATTGTTTTCAACAAGAATATCAGAAAAGAAAAATTACTATCAGGTTCTCAAAGGAAGATTCGCTAGAAAACGAAATTCCTTGTTTTTCAGTTCGTAGAATGCGTAAATAGAATCTTGTTTAGACTACATGGTAGAGATGAGATAGGTTCGTAGTTTTTTGGAACTGAACTACCAAATGAAACATCTCCGACCTTTCTGCGATGTTTCTTAGTTCAGATATAGTAATCTTACGGAAGCTACAAAAGCCATTCTTTTATACTCGATCATATTGCTCTATCTCAGCCAAAAAAACATAGCCGAGAACTCAAAGACATTTTATTTTGCAGAGAATCTAATATAAAAAAAAGTTATATTTACGCATTCTAAGTGCTGGAAAAGTAGAATTTTGATTTTCTGGAGCTCCTACGATTGAAAATCTGATAATAATTTCTATTGCATCTTATGTAATCGTTTTCTTTATTTGAATCACTATTTATATTCTTCTTATCACTGACAGTAGCCGAAAAAACCTTGTTGAATAATTTTTCGGTACTCGCTATATGTTCAACTATTTATTGTTTCAAAGGAGTTAGTTGTATCTGGCAACTGTTATATGTACCAGGAGGCTTATAAAGAAGAGTACTTCTCGCTTTTCGTTGATATTAAATTATTTAAATCACCGTGAAGTTTTATATAAATTTATCTGTCTTGTTCTACAAATGTTGTGTCTTTCATTTTGAAGACTAAATATAATTTTAGCAATCCAGTTCGAGGCGAATGTGTACGAAAAGTCGAAGAGAATTTGAAATGAAACATGAACAAACGAACATATTGATAAGTAGCTCGGAACATGTTCGTCTATTAACGTACAGTGTGTCCATGGGTCCTTTTTTCAAATTCTCTCTGAGTGTTCCTATCAATCTGGAAAACTATTGAATGTAATTTTCAAAATTTTTTTATTTCTATACACTTCGGTAAGTTTTAAGTTCTGGCCTGATACAATTGCTATGAACTAAGCTATAATCATGAAAAAGTTCTTCAAAAGATTTACGTATATAAAATACTCAAAAAATGGGTATATACAACGAGAAAAAAGTAATAGTTCGGCACGTCAAAGTACATTGAAACATGAGAAAAGTATTGTACTTCGAACTACTCAAGTCTTTCTTTTTCTCCTCATGTATATATCACAATGTTGAAAGTTGCACTCAATAATTGACTGAAACTATCTTCACGAAACCATACAAACCCTAGGAGATATCGACGAAAATCAAAACGTAAGGGTAATATCAATACAGTTAAATTTAAGATTTTTGTTGTTAATAAATTTCTAAAAAACTGCCTTAGTGAATAAACGTGGCAAGAATCACTGTTATCAAAGCAAGTGTCAAGAGTTTATTATTGTTCTGTCGATTTATAGGCAGAGTGCGTCTTGTGTAAAAATTATTAAATAGTGTTTACAATATCCTGTGACAAACTTAAACTCAGTACATTATAACTAGCGAGGTGATTTTTGAAGATAATGAACAAAGAATGAAAAGAACTAATAAAAGTAAAAATATGATCACAAATTAATTATTAGCAGAAGAAAAATAATAGAATGTAAACGAAAAGTCATAGTAATGTGACAATGTTGGAATGTATAAATAGTCGTTGGATTGTTTTAACCCTTTGGCTCCCGCCTATTTTTGCGCAGATCAAAGTTTTTAAAATTAATCTTTAAATATGATTTATTGATTTCTTTCTTGGTTTAATGTCGTTTTCTCAGAGTGGTCATAATAGGAATGTATGAGGCTGATTGTTGAAATCAATGGCTATTATTCAACGAA